GCACAGTTTGCTATAGACTCTACTGATTCCTGTGTAAGAGGTTCTTTAAACAAAACTGAGATTTTATTTGGTTTTTGATCATCATGATGTTCTAACACAGTTGTGTCACTAGAGTTGGTGTCACCCCAGTGCAGTAACTCATAGTGTCAATTGCCAGGCAGGCAGCCACTCGAGGGGGAACATGAGGAGAGAACAGTATGGGGGGGAAGGGACAGCAGAAGGAGAAGAGACAGCCGGCACTATCCACCCTCCTCTTCTTGACTGCCTCCCCAACTTCCCCATCCCACCCATGCTGCCTGGCACACATCCATCTGCCAATCTCTTCCCCTGCAGCTGCCTCCACCACCTGCCTGCTGGTAGGGATAGGGTGCTGTTGCCACCCAGCAGCCTCTTCTCCCAACCCATCCTTGGCTGCATCCAGCTCACCATGGCTGCCACCTCCCATTTGTGCTTTTTCACCATCTTGTGGCCAAGGTCCAGAGAGTCCAAACCAACAGAGAAGCATGAAGAGGCAGCAGCGGCGGTGAGCTGGTGATGCTACCTGGCACTCAGCCAGGTGAAAAAGGGAAGTGATAGCGGCAGGAAGGGAAGGAATCTGGTAGCATTTCCTATTCCTGGCCAGCCAGCAGTCCCACCAGTGCCAGAATGGGCTGCCAAATGACAGCAGCCACTGCAGCAGGTGGAGGGCCCAACTGGATGTCACCCCCCTCCCCGATGTCACTGTGATGACCACTGTATTTTGTTTTAATTACTTCTTTGATAGCACCACACTGGGTTTTTTTTTTATCCCATCTGCTACTTCTGTGTGAAACTGATTCACTATTTTACCTTTCCTAAGGGACTTAACCCTAAATGTTGTTTTGGTAGTGTGTTTCCTTATTATATTGAAACACCAGGGAAGCCTTTATTCAAACAAGGGTTAAAGTTTATATGAAGGTTATGTTGAACAATATCTCTTTATTATGAGATGATAAATATGTCTTAGTTTTGCTTTATTTGTTACAGTTGCATTAACTCTACATCAAGTTTCACTCTTTAGAATCAATAGACTTTTTCACTACCCCAGGGCCTTCTCTGTCCTTCTCTGGATACTCTTTACTACCTGTTTCTACACCAACCATCAAGGCTATTTGTATTTCTCTAGATACTTTAAACAGTAACTGTCTTTTAGAGTTCTGCTGTTCAGAGTCCCTCTCTAACAGACCCTACTCTGACTTCGACTTCAACCGCCCCTTCAACTTTAACCTCAGCTACAACTACCATGAACAGATTCTACCTGTCCTTTTATCCCCTCTCTAACTTGAATCTGATTGGCTGGAGCCTGCTCCCTCCCTATTGGATGTTGCTAGGGCTGGCCAAACTCTGCCTTCTCTCCATAGTCACCTGGTGCACTCCACACCTCCTAGCCTTAGCAGTGGAAGTCCAATGACATTTGCTTTGATTTGGATTTCCTGCATGGCAGGGGGTTGGACTGGATGGCCTGTGCGGTCTCTTCCAACTCTATGATTCTATGATTCTATGACATTGATCAGTTTTGTGAGAAAGATGCAAGACATCACATATTCCATAAGAAATTTTGTGTTTCACAAATTTCAAGTGTTCCACAAATTTTAGATTCTACTGCTTTTATCCAATGGGTGAAGCACAAAGGAGAGAGGGAATTCCTAAAACAAGACTGAACAATGGGGTGCCTTGTTCCCTTCCAGACATTATTGGTCTACAAACTCCCAGAATTTCCCACCAATGGCCATGATAGCTAGGGTTGATGGAAGTTGCATTGGGACAAGTTCAGAGGACCACTATTTGCAAAGGTCAAAAGAAATTGTTTTTTTTTCTGTGTCACAAGTAATGTTTATTAATTATTTCCCTTGTTACTTTGAGAAAGGAATGCATTCTTAGGTCATTTGAAGTTTTTTTTTTTTTTTGCAAACTGTATACAATTTTCATATTTGCTTTGGAAGGATTTTTCTCAGAAAACGAAGAAAAGGAACATATAAGGCTATGAGTAGCTCGAGTTACTGAAAGGAGGAAAACAGTAACAGTAAAATGCTGTGATCTGGGGGCTTTGTAATGCGTTGCATGATCAATAAATTGTCCAAGCTGTTCATCTAAGGAATTATTAAGTTTAGTATGGTTGTCGTAAGCCAGAGTCATCTTGAAGACACACAACAACAAAGCCAGCAAAATAATCATCACAGAAATTAAAAGATGAAAATATGATTATTATTTTAAAAATAGACTTCTCTAAATTTGGTTACAGAAAGGTTTTTCCTTTGAAGATGTGTCCTTGTCAATGCAACATTCACAAGGCAATAGTGCTTATCAGTTGTTTCACAGAAGGGAAGAAGTGGAAAGGACTGACTGAAGGCTTTCCCCACTTCTGCTCCTATTCATAAATCAAGGTCAGCAATATCAGCAATATTGAATAGAGCTTCACATGTCTTAGCCTCAACATTTGGATGCTGGGGAGGACAGATCAAGGGAACTAAGCAGACAGCAGCAGCAGGTAACTGCAGATATGGTGCATCATCTTGCTAAGGCTGTGAGAGCAGATGCCCCATTTTGCATGCATAGAACTTAATTAGCTTCAGGCCCTTATTTATTTAGATTAATATCATGCCTTTTCTCCAATGAACTCGAGCAGTATATATGGGTCATAACCCAAGTTCCATTAATTGTAATTGGTTTACTCTAGGTAGCATTAATGTTTGATTTAAATACACCCCCTCATAGGATCTTGTGCAACTGAAAAGTGCTTTGTGCTGCATTAAACTGAATACAACTTTAATCAAGTTCCCATGGCTACGGGCAGACTATGTTTGATAATAAACCTGAAGCTGGAAAATAATAAGGAAAAGCATAGTTCTGTACCTGAAGAGAAAAGGAAATTCTTTAATTTGCATATTCAGTTGATTTGTTATTGCAGCTGCGAGGACATTTTCTTTCCTTCAGTTTTCTTCTCAGAATTGCTTTCTATTCCCTTGAATGCAACCTCTTTGACTTGAGATGACACAGTAGTTTCTATTGGTCTATTGCCAATCTTTGGTCAAGCAAGACAACAAATCTACTCCACTGTTGGGTGGGTAGGAGAAAATTCAGGCTGCACAGGCAAACTATTGACTATGCTATCTAAGGATGATGGGTGCTGCAGTCCAACAAAATACAGAGAACCACAGGTTGCCTGTTCCTGGCATAAAGAATTGTGGAGATACAGAGCAAGATTTAGGACTAGTCCCAACTAGAGTGAAATCAATGGGCAGTGGACAGTAGAAAAAGTCCCATTGTTTTCACTGAGGGTGCATCTGTTGTTGTTGAGGTGAGCCTTCAAACCATTTATAATAAT